ATTAAAATTGTTATTTTGTAGTAGTGCTATAAAAATCAAATATTTAATTAACTTTATCAAAGCTACTTCAGTATATTTTATGCAAAACATAATTATACCTGATAATATTAATTTCGTATAATAAACAAAATAATAACGCAATATGACATAAAATAACTAATTATTTCAATATTAATCTTATCAAAAAAAAATTTAATATTTTATTTACTAACATTATTGTATATTTAGCACATTTAATTGATAACAATTTATTATAATCAAATAAAAATTAATTATATCCAACGATATATTATATGACAAACTGCCGGTGTTATATTATTAATAGTAACAGTAATAGATATATTAAACAACACTTTATTTACAAACCTTTCGAAATACGATGGTATCAAAGGGTAAAACATCTCAAATTATACATATCTCCCTCCGCTTCTAATCCCTTTCCCTCTTATTCCCCGCATTTGCCACCACTTTATGCTAAAACACATAAATACCATAAGAGAGACACAAATATTTTTCAGTTAGCATAACATTACATGATATGCATTGAAAGTGTTGACAACAAATACTTTTAAATATCTTCAAATTAATATTTTATAGTCATTTTGATATTAATACAAAATAAAAATGAAGAATAATTTTTCTTTTCTTGTAATAATCGCCTTAATTGTTGCTAAGTCTTGTGAATCAATTGAAGTGATATTCAGACATCATGTTTATGATAATGACCTCAAGAAAACACTGTTTAACTGCACCATACGCTTGAAAGAGGATCGGGAGGTACTGACGAGACTCACCATAAGTAAAGACACCCAAGATTTTTACACATTGGCTGCTAATGACCCAAACTGTATGTATAATATTCATTTATGTCTAGTTTATTATCATTATTTTGTACCTGATATGTTCAAATCAAAATATTTTAATTGATCAAGGTCGTTGATTTAATTGAATAATTTCCTTATTACGTGTCATCAATACAAAAACATGTTTTTATTTGTCATTTTAATTTTTCATTAAATTAATAGATTTCTATCATTGAATAGGAATAAGACCTCTCTCTCTCTCTCTCTCTCTCTCTCTCTCTCTCTATGTGTGTCTGAAAAATGTACGCACATTCACACTCACATTCACTCTCTCATTCACTTTCTCTCTCGCTTAAGAGATCAATTATATGATTACATTTTTATATCTAATTAATTAAACATATAATACTACATAATATTAATATAAATATAATTAAATAAATTTAGATCCGTTATTCAAAAGTATTGCTGGAATCGATTCAGTACAACCAATTGGTCCAGGGTTATTTGTGTTAAGTAACCCTAATAAGACAACTGGTGGTCAATATGTATGTAAAGTTGATTATACAGACAGAGGTATCCCAAAACACAAGGATAATAAAATGCCGATAACTATCACCGAAAACCTGACGATTAAGACATCCAAGAATGGCAACAAACATAAGACAACTGTCCCTTCCGGTGGAACTACTCAACAGTCGGTCACCACTTTGGGAACGACATCTAATTTAAGACCTTATACCGATAATATAGATAATCCTACATCTAATAAACAGACCTTACCAGGTAGTATAGAGATCACATACAATTCGCAGCAATATACAGGCACACCTATTGAGACTCACAGTCCTATACATTCTGTAACTGTCCCTGTTTATTTTACAAACACTACAGATAGCCTACCAGAACCAACAACTACTGAAATTCTCACAGAATATATTGAAATTGTGACAGAATCTACATTCAAACCCAATATTACAAGCTTAGATTTTACACAATCTATTGTTACAGAAACACAAACTATTGTCAAACCCACTGTAGATTTTAGGCAAACTATAGAATCTCAATCTACACTAAAACCGCAAGAATCTACTGAACAATTAACCCACTCTACAGTCAATAGCACAGAATCTATAATAACTGAAAAATATACAGCCAATCTAACAGAACCTACCATAATATCCACACAATTTGATGATCAAAGTTGCAAAACTACCTTGATAAATGAGCAAAATAATAGTTCAATACAGAGCACAGTTAAGCCAATAGAAACAACGACCGAACCAAAGGTGACTACAGTAAGCAATCCAACACTGAATACAATTCAAACAAATACCGATAAATCAGATAAAGAAATCGACACTAATTTAAGCAAAGGTTTAAATGACATGCTATTCAATAATATTTTTAAACATTTCAATTAACCCTTGAAAACATCACTTAATTACAGTTCACGTAAGCATTGGGTTCCGAGCAAACAGATTACCCAAAGGCAAGGACGCATACTTAGCCTGCTCATACGATAACCCGGATAAACCATATGAATTATCAGAAATTAACATTTATAAGGGTGAACACTTATTCTGGCGCCAGGTCAACCAAACATTCTGTATGTTAACGTGAATCCAAATACAGCCATGTTCATATTTAAGTTTAAAACTATTTTTTATTGACAGTTGAGTTTCACAAGATTAAAGGCATCAACAAAATAGCCAATAAATACGAGTCGAGACAGCAGTTGATTGAATTAAAAATTAGAAATGTTCAGAAAGACACGTTTGGCGAGTATACGTGCAAGGTCACCTACCATCAAGTTAATTCACATTTGGAATTCAGTGTGCTGGCTCACTCACATTTAGACCTGGCTAACACATCGTCTTATTTATACCCTTCTTATTTCCTTTTAATAACTTTTGTTTTGCAAAATATTTTTTACTGATTCATACAGTACTTCAAAATTTGTTCATTTTTTATTTCGCAATTCTTTTATAAAAGATTTTTATTTTTTTATTTATTAATCTTTATTATATTTTTTGAATAAATGATAAAACTCATAATGTACTATATTAAAGGCAATAGTGAGTTATTAATTACATTTTAAGATATTTAATTATTTTTACAGAATGGTTTACTCAAAAATTGTAAATAAAATTATTAACTAAAAATTTTAAGGAATTTATCAAATATATTAGTATTTTGGAAAATTTTTCTTTAAATGTATTTCTAGGCAATTTTGATACAAATAAATATTTTAAACCTTATTTAATATTATTATTATTAGCATTTTACTCAAATAATGAAAATATTTTAATATGTAACAAAATTTAAGACATTTGACAATTATTCATTTATTTGTATTATTAATATTTTATATATTTAATAAAAATAATGTTGAAATTTAATAATAAGTACTGGTATATAATCACAAAGTTTTCGGTACATTTGGTACACAAGATAACCTATTACCATGGTTCAACCAATGGTTTCATAAGAAATTATGCAATAGTTTATTAAGTGCTGCTTAATAATAATAAGGTACATCAAGTACAGTACATTTGTATTAAATCATGCCAAATAACTATTGGATAATAGAATCTGCAGTAAATCTAAACGTAATTTATAAATTGAATATAAGTTTAATTGTGAACTTTAATTATTTTATTTGAAATATGTGATTATAATGATCAAAACATCGTGGTTATTTTATTTTTATCGTTTGTGGTACCGAAATTATTCACATTCAAAGAGTTGGTTTTCAAAATAAAGTTTGGCATTTTCAAAAATCTCTATGGAGAAATAAGCTGTGTATTGCTTGAGATAAACTTCACGTTAGAAAGCATTCCCGTAAAAATGGGTTAAATCGTTGGTTATTGGTATAAATCTGGTTAAAGTGTGTTCCTAAACCCAATTTCGAGTTAGAAAACATATTTTTATCAGATATGAGTGATAAAACTATTTAATTNGCTTGAGATAAACTTCACGTTAGAAAGCATTCCCGTAAAAATGGGTTAAATCGTTGGTTATTGGTATAAATCTGGTTAAAGTGTGTTCCTAAACCCAATTTCGAGTTAGAAAACATATTTTTATCAGATATGAGTGATAAAACTATTTAATTTAATGAAATTATTAGAAAATTTACCCGAAAATATATGCCAAAGTATAGTCGGGAGACCAACTCTTTGATTGTGAATAATTTCGGTACCACAAATTATAAAAATAAAATAACCACGCTGTTTTGATCATTAAAAACACATATTTTAAATACAATATTTAAA